CCCCCTGAGACTCAGCTGACCCATCAGCATTTTTAGATGGGCTGTGTCAGGAAAATTAATCCACAAATATCAGAGGTTTATGTCTAAAAAGGAGACAGAGGAGTCCTTTTACTTTATTCCAATAAAGGGAGAGGCCATGGGCCGTTCCCCTGGGGTCTCTCCAATTTTTTGGAGGACACAGCCTCCTCTTTTCTCCTAATTTTCCTTCTCTCTTTCCCCATTGCCTGATGTACTTGAGAGGTTCAGACTTCCCAATATACCTGATACCAGAGATTTCCCTCTAATGTATAACCCTCCCTTTTTAATTTTCAATTCTTAAGGAATTTAGGGTTTTCCCCCATTGTTTCTTTTATCTTTCAATGTCTAATTTCATTTATCAACAAACCTAAAGCTTGCTTGTAAAAGCAAATATCTTTTTCCATTCATCAATCAGTAGCATCCTTCCCATTTTTCCTTTAATGATAACAGTATGGAATTAGCTTCAAGCCAAATAATTTATAGAAGTGCATCAGCATTCAGAGAAACAGACAAAAAAAATTTTCATAAACACCCACATCCTACTTCCTGGTGCTGTAAACTGCAGCCCACACTTGTTATTCATGAAATTCTGTCTGCATCAGGCTCTTGCCATGATCAGTGCACTGAAAATGGAAAGAAACCTTTTTGTTTTGTTTTGTTTTTTGGGGTTTTTTTTCCCCCTGGGCTGTCCCTATGTTCTGGATGAGCAGAGTGGTTTTGGGAACCTCCAGTCCCACTCTCAGGGGTGCTGGACTGTTGGCACAGCAGAGACTCAGCAAAGGGACCCCTGCATTTGGAAATGCCTGACAATCACAGCTCCCCATCAATTCAGTTGGATCTTTCCTTTCTCTCCTCAGTGGCTTTTCACAGCCCTCCTGCCAAGATCAAGGAGGAGCCCCAGAGCCCCTCGGAGCTGTCCTGCAGCCACAGCAGCCAGCAGTGCCTTTATGCCAGGTACGGCCCCAGGAGGGCAGGAGCTGCTCTGAACCCCAGGGCTCTGCAATCCCTGGCACTGGAGGGGTGCCAGCAGTGCCAGCACTGCCCAACAGTGCCCAGCAGCTCTGCCCACTGCCCACGGGGCAGCTCAGGCCTGTGAACATCAGCTCTGCCTTTGCCTCCATTTATTCTCCCTTTTTATTCTCCCTTTTTTTTCTCCCTGTTTATTCTCCCTGGCCCTCAGCCATCCTCACGCTCAGCAATATTGATATCTACCACATGCCCGTGCCCACTGTTTTCCAAAATCTGTCCCACTGCCCTTGCCTGAGCTGTGGCTCCTCCAGCAAAGCCCTTCTAAAGGGTTGCTGCTGTCAGTGAGCAGGGAGGCAGCAAAGGTTTGAGCTGGGGGCTTCTGGCCCAGGGGGCTGCACAGGGGCACAGCACGTTTGATATTTTCCAGATTTGGAAAGCCAGGTGTCTGCTAAGGAAGGCAGGAACCTCCCTTAAAATGGACAGTGTAGAACTCCTCCCTCCAAATTAATATAATTTTCAAATTAAGGGTCTCTCAGCAAAGATATATGAA